AGTTTTCTTGACTCGTTAGCTTGAATTTTGTTGTGACGATATTACCTCGCTCTGATGATGTCCGTCATATTACGGACGAAAGCTTAGCACCTATTTACCAGAATCGAAGGAGATTGCCTCGGAAACAACGTCAGCATGAATCTTCCCGTAAAGCCAATCGACAGCTGGTCAAGAGGAATCCGCCGTCGTCTTCTGGTGGAACCGATCTTCGAATCTCTTCACCCAACACTTTCCCTCGAAATGGAAGTAAGCTCAACGACCAAAAGTTTATTGTATCAAAAATTCTTGGGAGGGTCACCGTAGGATGTCTGTAAATAACAAGTTTCGTTTGGTGCACACTACATCGAAATATATGTGAAAGCCCTAAAGGCATATCTCCGAAACCTGAAAATTTTCGATAGGAAGTTCTTACTACTTTTTTTCCAGTTAGTAAATAAACAGCTGATAAAAAATGATGGTTTGCTTGCAAGGTTAGAGTTAATGTCTATATAATCAAATATTCCAATAAAAAGGATAACAAAGGTTTCAGAGCTAACTTTATACTAGCATCCTGTCATTGTAAGTCGTCAAAAGAAAACATTCCACTACATATTTTTCGAATATAAGAAGAGTTTGGAGATTTCAAGAAAATCAGTCGTATGAAATGTATTCACCCTATTTCGTTTAAGGTGATGAAGTACTGGTAGTAGAATTTTCTACAACGATATGAGTAGAGCTAACGTTTCCATTGAATTTCACATAGCCTTGCTTTCCAAAAAGCTGTTCTCATCCAGGCTTAAGTGGACTGCAGTTTCGATCTCGCATCGGTCTTATCAACACCTTCAGCAAGAGTCGAACCGTGACAGTGAAGCCTGTGAACTTGACACGATAACCACCCAGCCACGTTGCCACGAGTGCCTTTTGGGTCACAGGACAGATGGGAATTTCAAGGATGGACAGGTCTTTTTCCCATATCACATTATTTAGTGGGATTGTCGATGAAGCAAACGTATTTTTGCTATAAAAATCGATTACATTACTTATTTTTTGTATATAAGTAGAGTTTCGAGACTACCAGTAAGTCAGTTATATGAGATGTTTTCCCATTTGCCCTGTGACCTAAAGACACTCGTTGCAATGTGACCGAATGGTTAACCTGTCAAGCTCGCATGCTGCACTTCCAGACGAGGCGAGGTCGAAACTACAGTCCACTTCAGGCTGGATGAGAACAACTTTTAAGAAAGCAAGGCTATGTGGAATGCAATGGAAACGTCAGGTCTACTCATATTATTGTGGGAAAATTCCGCTACCAGTTCTTAATCACCTTAGACGAAATAGAGTGAATACCTCTCATATAATTTTAAGAAATTAAGAAAACTCATCTCATATATATATGATCTTCTGGTAGTCTCGGAAAGTTACTTATAAGCGGAAAGCTCGATTTGCCATTAAAATCAAATCAAATTTTTCTTTACCAATTTGCCTTCGTTACTCCCATGATTTACCCCCAACATTTTAGCGATTTTCTACGTTATTGCGTCGAGTTTACTCGACTCGTTAGCTTGACCATGTTTTTCAGAATGATACTCTGCTCTGATGATGTCCGTTACACGATGGACGGAAGCTTAATACGTTTTCACCGGAATCGGAAATATCGTTAACAAGAATGTTCCTATAAAGCCAATAGAAAGCTAATCAAGAGGGATCCGCCGTCGTCTTCTGGTTGGATCTACCTTTGAATCACTTCACCAAAGACTTTCACTCAGAATAGAAGTGAGCTAAGTAACTATGTGCAATCTAATGTAAACATGAGGCATACTCATCCATTGAGGGAAATTTTAACTACCATTTCTTCATCAGCTTGAACGAAATAGATTGAATATATCTTATATTAACACCCATTCTGTTTCCAATGAGATCAAATCACAAAGCCCGCATGAGAAAATGTTTCTTTGAACTGAAAAGTCGAATCACATTTAATTAATAGAGGATTCCTCGAGACCCAGCTCTTCTTCATATACGCTACCATTGGACGTTTGATAGAAGTAGGAAAAGGAGGCTTAATGAATCAATGACGGAGATGAACAGTGACGCAACATATTTAATACAAATTGCTTTACATTTTGAAGTACAAGGCCAAAGAAATCAAGAAAATGTTCCTGAACAATTTATTTAATTAATTCTGCTCCCCACCGTATTTTCTTTTACGATGTGTAAATTAGCCTTTGGGGCATTGAACGTTTATATGCACGTGTGTTTATACGTCGGTAACCAGCAAAAGCAATGCGATATAAATTTTCATGCTTTTATTTCCGCACCATCTACACTATGTGGCCGGAGAACAGGTCTTCGTCGGCGGACTGCCGCGCCATTCGACTTCAAAGGATATCTGGTCCGCTCTGCAGCGCCACACGCCATCGGTGACAGAGGTTCACCTCGTACTTGAGGCTAACGAGAGTGGCAGTAGCAAAGATGTTTACCGAATCTCGGATGTTCAAGTGTCTGCTGACGCCCCGACAGGGTTTCATAATGAGCCTTTAACTCAAGAATCCTGTCCGTCCAGATTCGATAGGGCGAGTAGACGTCTTGCAGAGCTGAGCTGTCGGTGCTGTACTGAAACGGAAGTGCCGCAGGCCGACTGCAATCAGTCAACAGGCAGGCCAGGCGGAGCCGAGTTTGGGTATGAAAATACCAGGTAGGCCGAAGTTAGTGGTTTTTGGGAGATTCTTCCTTGTAAAAACTTTTTGTCGAGCCTCCCTTTCTCAACTTGGTTGTATTGCCAGGGAGAGATTTAAAAATATGATCTTGATCGGCTTCTTTTGTCATAATCACCATAATATCCTGTTCGATTCCGTGGACTTGATACCTTCCTTAGCCTCAAAATACAATCCCTCAATGAGACGTAAAGTGCACCAATTTTCTACAGAACGGTTGTGATATTCCTCTACATTTTGTCCTGGTACATATCACTTGCCTATATGTCTTGGTGATCAGAGCAGGTGAGAAGTTAAGCAGGGATGTCTATAAAAAGTCAACTCATGCTGGTTTTATACTTAACTTCTTCTCCAAGCATAGTTACAAAACAAAGGTTGAAGTTTTAAAACCTATGATTATTAGGAGCATAAGACTAGCCGATATAGACCATTGTGACAATGAAATAATAATAGTATTACTTGGGAATAATTACCCCCTAGGCTTGATTTAAAATAGCCTTCGATTAATAAAGAATAGCTTTTTGAATAGTGAATACGTAAGGAGAGGTGAGGAGACCTTTTCTCATGTTTCGTCTTTACCTTCGTGCATTCTCTCTAAAAGGATAAGTGAACAAGAAAGGAAGTGGGGAATAAAAACGGTTTTCAGGGAAACCATGACACTTTATTCAGTCATGCCCACTTTTAGAGAAAAAGTTGACCTATTATCCAGATCGGGTAGCAACAAGATAATGTGTTCATGTGGTCGCTTTTATGTTGGTGAGACTTGTCGTCCCATTTGACAAAGAGTGGCTGAACACAAAAGCGCCTGCAAAGGATGTTGGGTTCAAAAATCGGAGCTTGCTGAGCACAAGGAACAAACGGGACACGAGATTGAATGGTCTCAAACTTATGGGTTTTTGATTATGGTATGTTTGCGACTAAACGTAAAATTAGAGAAGTCATAGAAATGAACCGAACAGGAAATGCTTTGAATGTAAGGAATAGTGGTAAGAAGATAAATAAAACTTACTTGTGCTTAAGTGATAGACTGAAGGATATAGAGGAAGTTGAGTCGTCTGCAAAAAGGAGGCGATGCAACTAGTCTTTTCTTATTTTTCGTATTTGAGTAGAATTTCGAGACTACCAGTAAATCAATAATATGAGATGTATTCACTCTATTTCGTTTAAGGTGATGAAGGTGAAATTCTACTACGAGTCCTTCATCACCTTAAACGAAATACGGTGAATACATCTCATATTAGTCTTTTCTTGTCTTGGTTCTAATCATACTCACTTCTCTGTACTTTTAGCCTACTCCTCTCTCGCATTGAGACGAAAAACAATATTAGGCTCATCAACAAAACCAGACGAGTGTCCGATCTTGCGCAATCGTAGTGATGGTTATAACTTAAATGTTGAAAGAGGGAGATAGGGGTCATCAAACCTTGATGGCCGAAAACAGACGTCATCACTGCGGGTTTCGTGCAGGCACATACGCATACAGAAACAGACACACTCACAGGCTTCGAAGTTGACATTTGACCGTAACTAACCAAAACACTTTATACCTGATCATAGAGGCCAGATATGGATTATATATTCCGGTTTTTACGGATTTGCCAGTGAGTTTTCTTGACTCGTTAGCTTGAATTTGGTTGTGAAGATGATACCTTGCTCTAATGACGTTCGTCCTATGACGGACGAAAGCTTAGCACCTTTTCACCGGAATCGAAGGAGACTACCTCGAAAACAGTGTCAGCATGAATCTTCCAGTAAAGCCAATCGACAGCTTGTCAAGAGGAATCCAGCGTCTTCTTTTGGTCAAACAAACGTTCGAATCTCTTCACCCAACATTTTCACTCGAATTGGACGTAAGCTCAACAATAAATAGCTGGCCAAGCGAGATCATATGTCATCGACCCTCATAGTATAGACGTTACAATTTCTTAAGCATACAATTACATTAAGAATAAAACCCGCAGATGCTTGATTCCCATAAACATCTCTGCCTAGTTTCCAGTTCAAGGAGCTATTCGTGCTCTAGTGCTTACCCTGCAGAGTCATTCAGTGATTAAGGGGGGGATCAAGTAGAGTTTGGCCTCCATTCTAAGGCTCCTCAACCAATCTATGAATAGTACATATTTCACCTTCGACGGTAATTTTTATAAATGGGCACAAGGACTTGCAGTGGGTTCTTGCTTAGTTGCAATTTTGGCGAATAACTACATCTATGCCTAGTTTATCGTCTTCCCTAATAACCATAACGTCCGAAAAAGTTAATTTTCTATTTTCTTCGAATTTTATTATGATGTTAATATTTCTTTTACGCTTGTTAAGTCAAAATATGAAACTAGTTCAACTCTCGTTATCATGCTGTCAAATCACAAAATAATCTTCCAAATATCTAACAAACTATTTACGAGTCAGCATTACCTCTTGCATTAAATATTCCTCAAACTTAGCCATTCAGTTATTCCCCAAAATTGGAACTGAGCGAGAACCTATTGCAGGTCCTTGTGTCCATTCATAAAAATTACCGTCAAAGATGCAATATGCTCTTCTCATGGATGGGTTGAGGAGGAGCCTGAATGACTCTTTGAACTTGAAGGTAGGTAGAGATGCTTATAGGAAACCAGCATATGCTGGTTTTGTTCTCAATTTTCTTTCTAACCATCCTTACAAAAACATGATTAGAATTTTTCACTTTATAATTATTAGGAGTATGAGGTTTGAGGATGAAAATCATCTGACACAAGATTTAAGAAGACTGAAAGTTTTATCCCGGAAAATGATTATTATTTGAGCTTAAGTGATACCAATATATCTTTAATGAGTAACTCATTTTCTGGCGGAGACTATTTAGCCAGAGAGAGTCAAGCTGTGACCCTCTTTCATGTCCTTATCTGGCCGTCATGTTGTCTTCCTAGAAAACTAGAAGATCTAGTGATTAAGTAAGGGATATGGAGAGTTTTCACAGAAACTCTGAAGCTTTCTTCGGTTACACCTTCTTTTAGAGAGAAATATGGCCCAATATTAAGATCTGGATGTTATAAGATTATGTGCTCCTGTGGTCGACCTTATGTTTGCTAGGCCTGTCGGCCGATCCGCCAAAGATTAGCGGAGCACAAAAATGCTTGTAAAGACAACTGGGTCGAACGGTCAGGAGTGGCGTAATTGATGGCGGAGACTGAGCATAAAATAAAACAGTCTCGAACGCAGAAGTTTGCTGATTATGCCTGTTACGAAACGCAAGATAAAGGAGGCCATTGAAATTAGTAAATTACGAAATACTTTGAATTTGAGGAAGGGTGGATAAATTTGAGTAAGGATTAATTATGCTTAATTGGAAGATTGAAAGAGAGAGGGTTTCAAGTCGTCATCCAAAGAAAACAATTCTACTTATTTTTGTATTTAAGTAGAGTTTCGAGACTCTCAGTAAATCAGTTATGTGAGATGTATTTATCTAATTTCGTTTGATCGCCTTCAATGAAATTGGGTAAATACATCTCTCATAACTTTACTTTATACTAAAATAAGTAATGTAGTCTACTTTTATAGCAAAAATACTTTTGTATAGAAACTGTTTGACCTTGTTTTCTCAACTTGGTCACATTGGTTTGAAGACTTAGAGGGACGAACCTAGTTCGGAGTCCATTGTATGTATGATCATTTCCAAAGTCGGAACGTGGACGTTGTAGATTCCCAGACGTTTCGCTGGTATCTTAGTCGGCATCGTCCATGAGTCACTCCATTGCTAGCACCACACTACAACTGGTCAAAGAGACAAGTGAAGTCGATCCTTTGACCAAACATGTGCTAAACAGTTGTGGTATCTCTTCTTCTGTCGTGAGCTATTCAGCTTGCCTATATCCTCGTCAAAATTTTTTTCCTTGCTTATTTATATGATATGTAGTCTGCCCTTTTGAGCGGCTTTCATGAGAACCCTCCACACTCCACACTCCACACTGGTGTTCTCACAACTCTTCACCCTTGTCCTGGGAATGCCGATCAGAATCTGCCATATTGTTACGCAGTCCTCCTTCCCTTGGTCATATCAGAGTCTCTCTCTTGCCCCGTAGGATGCGTCTGCTATCTACCAGGTTCGAGTATTTTACTCGACTCCTGCCACCCCAACTGTTCTACTTGAGGCTTTATTACCAATCACCTGAGTATG